ATATATATATATATATATATATGTATGTATGTAGAGAGAGAGAGATAAATTACAAATAGTACTCAAAAGATAGAATGCTACAAATCACAGTGATGATAATTGAAGGATCTAGAATGATTAATAATGGTTAGGGTTAAAAATTTTCTCTATTTTCTCAAACAATTCAACTAAGCTCTCAATCCAAGTAATTACCAACCAATTAAAGATCAAGTTTCCCTTGACATTTAACTCCTTTACTCTCTAACTAACTTAGAAGAGGCATTCCGTACCCTTCTATATTTTAAAAAATAAAAAAAGAAATAATAGAATGTGGTTATTTAAAAAGTGAAAGAGGTTTAAAGAAGGAAATGTACATGAATGAGTTAGAGGTGATTATAACTTATAATTAAGAGTAGAATAATCTAAAAATTGGATACACAAAAACATGGAATTATTTTTATATATAAGTATAATAACCAAGAATCATGATTTCATATATGTTCTCAAATAAAATAAGCACTAAGCACGAGAATTCTTTGAGATTTCATAATTGTTTTGTTCTATTCTAGGATCTCAAAAGCTATGGTCAATTCCTTAATATTCAACTCAATAACAAATTTTCCAATTAAGAGATTTCAATTATGAGGTGGCTAGCCCAAGAATAACACTAAGAACACAACAATCCACTGATTTGAATGATAAGAACAAGAATTAAGATAACAAGTCAAATCACATGAGAATTGAATAGGATGATGCTTTTTGTGTTGCTGCATGTGCCTTCTTACAGTATCCAAATCTAGTCCTTTCTCCCTCCTATGATTGAAGATCCACAATGTCTGCTTTCCTTACTCTTAACAATAAGCAAGTCAACTACCTGGGTAAGAAGAAAGGGATTTCATAATAGAACTGGGGGGCTAGAGGAGACTTTGATTGAGAGGATTAAGTTTCTGATCCAAAAACCAGACCAGTCTGCCTCGGATGAGCAATCAACATGATTCGTCTGACCCAATTTAAGTGGTTGGATGCGAGTGCACTTCTTCAATCTAGGTAAGCGAAAGCAAGTAGTATATCGAGAAACGAAAGAATACATATTACAACCAAAAAATGAAGAATAAGATAAAATAAGAACAACCAATTCTTCAGCGATCGCTTTCCGCTTTCCCCAACCTACGAATTCAGTGATACATCTAAAAAAATATAAAAATAAAAAATAAAAAAGAGATAGAAGAGATGATAAATAAATGATATCCATTAGCAATTTGACGAGATTGGTCCTTGGTTTCTCAAATTTGACATGCACAAACCCTGAGTAGAGAAGAGAAAAAGTATTTTGCGTGTTACATAGTGTTTTATAGCTGTCAAAAAAGTCTACAACTTGGGAACAATTATTTATATCCAGGTGAACTGAGTACGTTTAAACGCACCGTTGGACGACATTTAAATGCACACAAATCAGTAGCTACATCATATCAGCATACTTGGGACGTTTAAAAGCACTGCTGAGCATTTAAATGTGCACTAACCAATGAGCTCATCTTCAATTTTAACATGAAGATAACATTTTTGAACTGAGTACGTTTAAATGCCCCCGTTGGCCATTTAAATGGCTTCCAAAACTTGTGTATTTGTGCTACATGCCAAGTAAAAGTCTCTTTATAATTCATCCTCAATTAGTCTTAGTCGCCCTACAATTAAAATTAAGAAGAAAAAAATGAGTTTTCAATAATTTTGACAAGGAAACTTTACTAACATATACAAATATAACATTCATAAATCATATGCTAATCATGACACACAAATTTGCAACACTTTAACATGATATACACACCAATTTACTCTCTAGTTTAACATAACAGTAGCCCAATATTACATATTTATCACACCCCCAAATTTACTCTTTTGCTAGCCCTCAAGCAAAATCACTTTTCAAGACCAAAATATACAGAGACAACATTAGCATCATACTATTAGAAGAAAAAAAATAGAATTAGACAGACATTTTTCGTATCAAATTCATCATTTCTGTTAGTGTTACTGAATACATTAGACACAGAACTAGAGATGGATTAAATATCCATCATGAAATAGTCCAGTTAGTCATCACTTGTTTAAAGGGGAAATCTGTCTCAGATTCAGACATTTTGACAGATTCTGTCTTACAGTTAAATGATACAAAAGACAAACAGAAATATTCTGTCTCAGAAAAGTGTCCATCTTCATATTTAAAACAAGGTTTATCCAACTTTGGTGTCTAATTAGAGACAGAATTTGTTTTCTATTTCTTCCGAGAGACAGAATATCAATTTTGTCTAAACTTAAAAAGAAAATTGGAGTTCCATCTCAAGTTTTAAAATTTTGTAAAAATAATTTGCTCTAATTATGTACCTTTCAAAGTGGACAGCATACACATACAATAAAGCCTTGACTCTTGAGAATAGGCAAGGAAACATTATAATCAGTTATGAAGGACAAAATGTGAATAAACAGTATTTATAAAAGTTGCACCAAATGAAGGAAAAAGACTGACAGCAGGATTTGTCAGAATTAATCGACAACCTACATGATATTAGCCCATTGTTAACTAATGGCAATATTGTTGTCATTGCATCCTATTCTCTCATTTAATTACCAAGACATGCTCATTTGAAAGAGATAATATTACCAATCATGATGGTTTTGTTTTCCATCCAGCTTTTGAGATGCGACGAAGCTCTTGAGTTTGACCCTTCACATCACTACAACTTGCGAAATAGCATCACGAAATATGGGTGTAAAACCTTGATTTTTTAAATCACGTTTAAAAATATAGAAGCAGTACCTTTGTATCAAATAAAGAAAAAGATAGAACACAGGAAGTAGCACCAAGATCAATGCTCCAGCAGCCAGGCGTAAGAAACTACTTTGATCCTGCAGAGGCAAAATATCAGGATTCACAGATAACAGCCTTATCGATAGGCACTCACTGTCATAAAAATTACAGTTGCAAAATACCTAAAAACATCTTAAGTTGTGGTATAATGAAATGAAATGACAAAAAGTAAATGCCTAATAACTTCAAAACCTTTCCATTAAAAAAGGAAAGGTACTGTGTCTGCAAGTTTTGACATTAGAAGATAATTTGAGCCAGCCAAAAAAGCAAGCATTTAATGTCAATAAGGCTTATTCTTCTTACTGAGGGACTTTGTGAATAGCACAAGATCAAAAACTTCACAACACCGATCATCTATAAGAGTAGAAGTATATATGTCCCTATACTACTAGAGTTAGCAATGACAGATTTCTAATAAAAGGCATATTGATAATTAATTACCCAAATGAGATAATCAGGCTTTACCTTGCCTCCTCTAGAGAATGGCTTGTGTTTCCCTGAGCAGGTGTGAGCATCACAAAATTGATGCAGAAACAATTCTAGCAGTATATCAGGAAATCAGGTACGAAATAAATCAACAAAGACCACAATATAATTAAATTAAGCAGGAAAAAAAAGTGACAAGAAACATCATAATGGAACAGTTAGGAGAAAACGGTAATAGAAAATATTAAGTATACCATGAAGGCGGCCTGCTGATGGACCCTCACTAATAGGAAAACAATTGTCAGCAAGACTCTGAACAATGAGTGCATATGGATTAGGTAGAATAGTTGACAGTACAATGAAAAGTGAGAGAAAAAGAACACAAATTGAAAGCAACCTCACATAGGTATCGGTTTCTTGCAGAAGCTGCCGGATTGCACTTGCTTCTAGAGGACTTGAAATTCATAGCAGCATCACAATGCAACGCTCCACATAAATCAGCCAAGCACTTACCATGACTCTGCATTTAATTAACCCAAGTAAATGGAAATAATATTTTCTGATTAATAGTAAAGCATCAAATAGAACTGCAAGTAAAATTGAAGTGAGACTCAAAAACCATGATAGGACATGACCATTCATTAGGAAGGTTTACAGGACACACAAGAAGAGAATCTCTAGGAACCATAATTAGATTCTGTGAACTGTATTCCTAAATAACTACTAAAACAGAAAGTAGTTATTTAGTAACTTTAGGACAGGGGTGGGCAAAGTAAATAAATAGGCTGGGATACTCAAAGGAACGGACATCTTTCAAAAAGAAGGAAACTAGGAGTAGGATGATCTACTCGAATTCTCTCAGCAATCTAAACATTTCTTTGTAAATCCAACCTCTATTCTAACCTTCAATCCATAGGAGAAGGTTAGAAATTAGAGAACTTAGCTAATACAAATTCTATTTTTCCACTTCTTCAGCACTAATTATTACATTTCGGTACCGGAGCTTCAATCTCAGAACTGAGGCACCTTTTGTTTGATGCATACTACAAAAATGGAATGAACACTTGAAGCCTTGGAGAAATCACTATGATCACAATGAGAAGGGGACCTGAAGATGCAAACCCAGGGGTTTGAGATGTTGGAAAGATTATGAAAACATTACTCCAATGTTCTAGGCATAAACAAAAGAGGAGGGTCAGACACACGATTCCAGGTAAAGTAGAAGAAGGAGAAACAACAAAGATATGGTCGAAGAAGATGGTAAGTGAAGTAGCAAAGATGCGAGTGAGATGTGGCATAAGATTGAGATTCCAGTATTCCATAGGCAAGATGTGTACAGTTGGACTCAAAAGTTGGCGAGGTATTTCCAAGTTAAGGGAGTGATGTGGGAAGATCATATGCAAGTGGTAATCTTGGCATTGGAAGATAATGCCTGCAATTGGTTCCACTGGTGGGAAAGGTGGAGTGGAACCCTAAACCTAGCTAGGTCACATTCAAGAATGTGTTCTTGAAAAGTTTCAACCTGTTATAGCTCAAAACCCATTTGCAGCTTTATTACAATTGAAGCAAGAAGGTTAAGTTACGGGTCTTATATGGAATTTTGAAAGTGAAAGATATGATGGTGGTTTGGACGAGGGCAATCTGAGTGGAGGTTTTCTTGAATCAGCTGGAAGAACTAGGGGCTAAAGTGAAATCATACGAGCTCGAATCCTTATCCACAATGATGAAGAAAGCATTATTGGTGGAAGAAAATTTAGCAACAGTGCATAAGACAAGGACATATTCGAGCAATAAATCGAACAATTTCTATAGGAATTTTGGGTCCACTAAATCCATTTCGGTGGAACAAAACATTAGAGGAAAGGAAAGTGAGGTTTCATGGGAAGCAATGGCATCAATAATTGGGCAGAAAGTAAGGGGGAGATTGGGGGATTCAAGAGGCTAACTGAAGCTGAACTGCAAGAAAAGAGAAGTGCTTTAGATGTGAGGAAATATTTGGGTTGGGCCAGGCCACAACCACCAATGTAAAAACAAATAGTTCTAGATTATGCTACTGCAGGAAGAAGACAAAGTTCAAGAGGAAAGACATGATAACTATGGTTCTCAAGAGGAAATAACCCAATAGCTTTCCATGCACAACATTGTGAGCTTAACAACAAGGAGATCTCTTAAGATCTGGGAGGAGTTCGAGAGTAGGACAATAGTGGTATTGATTGACAGTGGGGCTTCCCATAATTTCATATCTACACAATTAGTAGAGGAATTGAAGTTGAAGGTGTCAGGGATCCCTACATACACCATAGTGGTAGGAGAAGGGCATAGGATCAATTTCCAAGGGATATGTGAAAGACTAAAACTGAATCTACCTGACATGAAGGTTAAACATAACTTCCTTGTGTTTGGATTAGGTGGAGCATATTTTGTATTCAGGTTGGACCAGTTAGCTACTTTGGGAGATATCAAGGCTAACTTTGAAGAGCTCACTATTACATTCAAGAAAGGAGATGAGAAGACGTTAAGAGATGATCTTGCTTTTTGTAAGACAATTGCCTCCTCCAAAACTATGATTTGAATGTTGCAATGCGGGGAAGAAGGATATTTGGTGGGTTTTCATTCATTAGAACAATCCACTGAAGCCGACAAGGAGATACCAGCTAATTTAGAGCAGTTGGCGAAGGTGTTTCAAGATGCTTTTCAAACTCCAAAAGAGTTTCCCTTAACCATTAGAAGGCTTGATCATGCCATCCATTTGAGAAAAGGGTTTCAATTCCTAACAACAGGCCTTATAAATATCCACATTACCAGAAAACAAAGATTGAGGAGTTAATAAATGAGATTTTTTCAACATAGTATCAGTCCCTATGCCAACCCCATTATCTTGGTGAAAAAGAAAGATTTTAGCAGGAGATTTTGCATGGATTATCAAGATCTCAACAGTCAATAATATAACCATTCCAAACAAGTTTCCAATTCCAATCATAGAGGAGCTATTGGAGAAGCTTGGGGGAGAAACAAATTTCACCAAATTAGATTTGAAATCAGGGTATCATCAAATTTGAATGAGAGAAGATGTGGAGAAAACAACATTTAGAACATATGAAGGGCATTATGAGTTCCTAGTAATGCAATTCTGATTAACCAATGCAACATCCACTTTCCATGCCCTAATGAATGAGGTATTGAAGCCCTTTTTTAGAAAGTTTGTTTAGTATTTTTTGATGACATTTTGATCTATAGTCTGAACTTGAAGTGTCACATGGATTATGTTAAAGAAATGTTGGATGCTTTGCATGATCATTCTCTTACAGTAGACAAGAAGAAATGCAGTTTCAATCAAGAAAGCCTAGAATATCTAGGCCATATAATTTCAAGTCAAGAAGTGGCTGCTGACCCTAAGAAGGTAGAATCCATGTGGTTATGGCTGGTTCCCAAGGATGTGAAATGTTTGTAAGGAGTTTTGGATCTTGGGCTATTATAGGAGATTTTGTGCAAGTGTATGGTAAGGTGGTCAAGTTGCTCACCCAATTGCTCACAATAAGCAGGATTTCAAATGAAATGAAGAAGCTAAATAGCCTTTGATGCGTTAAAGAGGACCTTCATAGCACTGTCAATATTGGCTGTACCTGACTTTAATAAGCCATTTATAGTAGAAACTGATGCCTCGAGTCATGGCCTAGGAGTTGTTACTTCAAGAAAGCAGGCCCTTAGCCTATTGGAATAAAGCTCTTTCAGAAAGGAGTCAACAAAAGTCTGTGTAAGAAGGGAGCTGATGGCAGTGGTACAGACTGTTCAAAGGTGGAAGCATTATTTGCTAGGATGACACTTCACAGTTTAAGACTGATCAAAGAAGCTTAAGTTTCTCACAGAGCAAAATGGCTTGAGTGAGAAGCAATTTTAATAGGTATCCAAACTCATGGCCTATGATTTTGAGACAAAGTACAGACCTGGGAAGGAAAACGCAGCAACAGATGCACTATCCAGACAAGTTACCTTTGCTGCTATGACCGTTTTGAGACTTCAAGACTTAGATAACTGGATTCCAGTGGTGCAGCAAGATGAAGGGCTGGAACAACTTATCAAGGACCTAATTGCAGATTCCAACTCATATAAGGGCTATGAACTAAAGAGGGGAAGACTATATTATCAAGGCAAACTAGTATTACCCAAGAGTTCAGCTAAAATTCCATTATTATTAGCTGAGTTTCACAGTTCAGCCATGGGAGGGCACTCAGAGTATTTCATAACCTACAAAAGGTCGGCTGCAGTTGTTTATTGGGAGGGTATGAAGACGGATATTAAATACTTTGTGGAACCTGTGACATCTGCCAATGAAACAAGTATGAAGCTTTATCTCCCTTGTGGCTACTACAACCTGTGCAGATTCCCACAAAGGTTTGGACTGAAATCTCTATGTATTTCATTGCTGGATTACCTAAAACAAAAAACAAGGATACTGTACTGGTCATCATTGACAGATTAACAAAGTTTTCCCATTTTTTCTCTATTGGCCACCCATTTATGGCACATGAGGTAACAGCAGTATTCATGACAGGAGTTGTGAAACTCCATGGCTTCTCGAGCATTAGTATATCTTGGATATTAACCTTGTCAGGTATTAAAAAATAACAAAAAAAGTTTCAAGTTAACAGGAATAAGTCATTAATGATAACAAAAAAGATGCACTAAATTAAAGTTTCGGATTAGAGAACCACATATTGTCATAACAGAGAAAAATAACAATAACTAACAAGCATGTCGCAATTTGACATATAACAGTATTAACTGTAAATTGATTCAATAAGAGCATTCTAGCCAAAAATAGAAGAAAAAGGGATACTTAAGAGAAGAGAATCTTTTGGTTTGAGTGTCTTAATCACAAGCATGTATAAGCTCTATATGTATAAAAGGGTGAGAGATGACTCAGGCAATTAAGAATTTCAAACTCATCTGGTAACTGATAAAATTAAACGATTAAAGCTTGCACTACACATTATGTATCCTGCAAAGAAAAGGAATGAGAATTGACATACTAGATTCAGAAGATTGTAGTGCCTGTTATCAAAATGCTGATCGAGAAATTTTTCTGCCCGAAAGCTTTTCTTACAATATCCACACCGCCATTCATGTCTATCTATGAAAAGTTTATGCTCTTCCTGATCACCGAATATATCATTTTCAGGGTGAAGTTGGCACTTACTCGAAAGCTTGTATTTTTCTCTTTCCACAAATGGTGTCAAATACTACAAATAAAACACGTATAAGAAACATATTTGTTGAGAGAAAAAAGAGAAGCATGTGCAGAAAATTTGTGTCAACTACACTTAGGATTTGATATTTATTATACATTTTTCCTAATTACTATATTTACCTAATACATTGAAACTTGCGTGTTTCCAATTTCTTGATAATACACGTCTTTAACAATATTCATGGATCTTTTTCAAAATTTAGACCACTTAATACTGCAATGTCGCAAATTCATAATGATAGCCAAAGGAATTCCCATACCTCCTCTATCACTTTCCGAGCTGCCCTACTTCTCTCCCTGGAGCAACGCACTTCTTGAGCATGTTCTTGTTCTTGTTTAACATTTCTAGAATAAAAAACACAACTAAGTCATACATGAGACTGAATATCGATAGACAATCTAAGGTATTAAAAAAAAAAAAAAAAAAAAAGACTACAGGAAAGCAAAACCGTTAAGTTCAATGCATGTCATAAGCTAGTAATGAAACTAATGTGCCTTTTAAGGGAATAAAAGCTAGTATCAAAACCAAACCATCTAGATATTTGGTCGGAGAATTATTTAGCAAAGTATAATCGTGAATCCAATCCAATACCTTCCACCAGAAGATTCCACATGGACCTAAATCAAAAGATAGAAGAAAACGAGCATTAGCATCGCAAATCATGGCGACAGAATTCAAGCTGAAAATGAAATGTAAGCTTAACATAAAGATTATAATTAATTCAACCAAAACTTATAATCTAGCCTGAACTTGAACCCTAAAAAAACTAAGTATTCCAATTCCACATCCTAAACTCGAAATCTTCGTTGCTAAGCCATTTGTTTAAATGCAAATTCGGTCACCAACAAAAACGAGACCTCGATTCTCAAAGATTAAGAATCCAAAGACAATCTCATGCGCATCTCCAATAAAAATAATGCGTGTAAGAAATTATACACCATATAAATTTTTTTGTTTATTCAAAGTCCAGTGCTTAGGCATGCGCCATTACCTGGCTTGCGTATAAGAAAGGTGACGAAGAAACGTGTTGAAAAGAAAGTATCAGGATGACGAAGATTGAAACAATACTTGTGACCTTCTTCATCCGTTACTCTCTGTTCGAACTTGAGCTCCTTTTTGTGCCAAAGATAACAAAAACGCATAAGAAATTCTAAAACGCTTGGACTCGAAAGAAAGCATGATGTAACTTACTCTTTTAATAATGCATTTTCGAAAAGTAAGTTTTGTTATAATTATTCACTTTTCGCAGATTTATTTTACTTTAGTATCAAATTTTAATAACTTAATTATTAATTTAAATATTTTTAATGTATAAATAAAATGTTTATAAATTTTTAAAATTTTAAAAATTATTTAATACTTTATTTTATTAATTTAAATTGACAAATAATTATAAAGATATATTATACATTAATTTAAATGAATAAAATAAAGTTTTTTTTTATAAATTAAATTTTTTAAAAATTTATAAATT